TAGTGTCGTTCCTCCACGAAGAGGGGGAGCGACATAATGGTGCCGTGACTCGGATAGGAAACCTAGGACGGATTAGCAAACTTAGGAGGGAAGAAACGGGAAGAATTGGGAAAATATCGGAGAGAGAGACTAGCAAACAGCCTAGGGAAAATACCGGAGAGAGAGACTAGCAAACAGCCTAGGGAAAAGCCGGACGAAAAGGGTGCCGGAAGAAGCTATTGAAAGCCTAGGCATAGACTCGGATACGGACTACGGGGGGAAGCTGGGAGGAATCTCTAAGGTCGAAAGCGAAAGTGAAAGCTAGAACAAACAGACTCGGACGCGGACTGTGGGGAGAGGCCAGGAGAAATGAGGGAGGAATATCGTTGGAGGAAAGCTTGGGGAAACATACCGGGTAGAGAAAAATGTTAGGAAAATTGAAGCCGCGGGGGGCAGGCCAAGGCGGAAACGAAAGCCACTTTGGGATTCTCAAGTTAGCCCGGGAATAGGGGGCGAAAAGTTGAAACCAGAAGCTGAGACGCAAGCCAGATTGGGATCCGTCTGATTAGCCCGGGGAGCAAAGGACGGGAAGCCAAACCGTGGGGCGGAGACGTACGCTGGGTTGAATTCGCCAGGCTAGCCCGGGGAACTTAGATTGAATCCTAGTGGCGGAGACGCAAGCTACGCTGTGTTACTCGCGGAAGCCGCCGCGTGCAGAGAGAGCACGGGGCGTGAATAGATAGGGAACGGGGCTGGCGAGGCCGTGGTTCAGACGCGAAAGGGTTAAGCGTGGAGACCGCGGAGCGCGCGAAGCCGAGCCGCGCAAAGCCGGGAAGCTGCGCAGATGAGAGAGGCGCGCGGGCTGAAGCGGCGCAGAGCCGGGAACCCGCCGGCGGGGCGAGGTGCCGGAAAGCTGCGGGGATAAGAGAAACAGAAGTTTTAGAAGTAAAGTGAGAGAAATAGGAATGCTGGAAGATAGAAGTAAAATGGGAGAAGTAGGAATGCCCGGAGATAGAGAAATAGAGAAAAATAAGGCCTCCCCTCAACATGCCAATTAGAAGGCTTGGATTCGGTCTGCCCGATTAGTGAGGCGATGAGCACCTGGGCGGCTAGCCGCAGGTCACCGAAGACAGGCACGAATTAACATCAGTAAAGCTTCCCCACAATGCAACAATTAGGAGGCTTGGATTCGGTCTGCCTGATTTAAGGCGGTAAGCGCCAGCAAAGCTCGACCAGAGTATGAGCTGCAGGTCACCGAAGATAGGCACGAATCAACACCAATAAGTCTCCCCACAATAAGGCAATGAGAAGGCTTGGATTCGGTTTGCCTGATAGGTCTTGTAAGTCCCCTGCAGGCAGAGCAGAGCATGCGCTGCAGGGCACCAAACACAGGCACGCATCAGCGCCTAAAAACCTCCTCACAACATGGCGAAGAGAGGACCCGGATTCGGTTTGCCTGATAGGACTTGTAAGAGCCTGTGGCAACTCTAGCAAGTAGAGCAGAGTGTGTCCGCGGGACACCGAAGACAGGCGCGTATCAACGCCAAAAATAAAAAGAAAGGGGGATCTGTGGGGAGCAAACCGGACTAGACTAAGTTACTCGAATTAGGACTTATTCCATGCATCTGCTCTCCCACAATATGGCACTGGGAGAGAAGTAAACAGCTTCCGCACAGCTGCCTCCAGTTCAACCAATTAACTGTAGGACTTGCTCCTGATTGGAGAGCAGCGTACTCAGCCGAGTTGGGATTGGCAGAGAAGGACTATAAAGGAGGAGAGAGACGGCATGCACCAGGAACATCTATGGGGAACATCTATGGGGAACATCTAAGGGAACCCGTGCAGCCCCCAGAGAGCTGGCCGGCGGTGTGCCGCTCCCCTGCGGAAGTGGGGAATGCGGCCAGGGGGAACTGCCCTTCCACGGAGGTGGAAGGGATAGTAGCCAACCCGGGAAGAACCAGCAGCAAACCCGGGGAGGGCCGAGCAGACGAAAGAACAGCGCAGGGTCCTGTGTCGTTCCTCCACGAAGAGGGGGAGCGACACAGATCAGCGCAACTCCGGCTGTTGCAGCCATCTGGGGAGTGAACCAGCAAATGGAGGACCTCTCTCTCTGTCTCTGTCTCTCTCTGTAGCTCTGTCTTTCAAATAAATAAAATAAATATTTTTAAAAATGATGTACTTGGCCGGTGCTGTGGCTCAATAGGCTAATCCTCCGCCTTGCAGTGCCAGCACACCGGGTTCTAGTCCTGGTTGGGGTGCCGGATTCTGTCCCGGTTGCCCCTCTTCCAGGCCAGCTCTCTGCTGTGGCCCGGGAAGGCAGTGGAGGATGGCCCAAGTGCTTGGGCCCTGCACCCCATGAGAGACCAGGAAAAGTGCCTGGCTCCCAGCTTCAGATCGGCGCAGTGCGCCAGCCGCAGCGGCCATTGGAGGGTGAACCAACGATAAAGGAAGACCTTTCTCTCTGTCTCTCTCTCTCACTGTCCACTCTGCCTGTCAAAAAAAAAAAATGATGTACTACTGTAATCAAAAATCAATATTAAGGGGCTGGCACTGTGGCACAGCGGGTTAATGCTCTGGCCTGAAGCACCAGTATCCCATATGGGCACTGGTTCGAGACCCGGCTGCTCCTCTTCCGATCCAGCTCTCTGCTATGGCCTGGGAAAGCAGTGGAAGATGGCCCAAGTCCTTGGGTCCCTGCACCCACATGGGAGATCCAGAAGAAGTTCCTGGCTCCTGGCTTTGGATCGGCACAGCTCTGGCCATTGCGGTCATCTGGGGAGTGAACCATCAGATGGAAGACCTCTTTCTCTCTTTCTCTCTCTCTGCCTCTCCTCTCTCTGTGTAATTCTGACTTTCAAATAAATAAATAAACCTTTTTAAAAAAAATCAATATTAAGTACTTACAAACTGATAAAAGCTCATGGGGGTTTGAGGATCCAGTATCCTGTATATAATAAATTTATTACATTCAACTTTTCTGCCATTTATGTTCATATATTGTAGGATCCAGTTGTATGATATCCCAGAATTAGGAAATAATCAGGTTCGTATTTATTTTATAGAGATGTTAAAAAAATTTATCCAAAGCTGCCTGGTGAGGCAAATAAAGAACCAAAATCCAAATAAGTGGGCTTCTGATTCGCTAGGCTGCCCAAGGAAGAAGTGTGTGATAGTGTAGTTGTCTCTCAAGGAAATAAGCTGGGTTAAAGTAGTGTGGGTTCCACTCAGTGGTGTGCTGGCAAATATTTAGCAACCAGCTCTCCGAAATCAAGACAGTGTGCCTGTGTCTGTTATGTGTCTGTATTATGATATATATGATTATATATCCACCTAAGTATATAAGTTTGTTACAAATTCCATTAGTGTCAAAATGTGTAATACATACTTTACATAAAATAACCAAATACACATTACTCTTTATTGTAAACTCTATGTAGTGAGTGATTCTCAAATGCTCTCGCTGGTTTTTGCCAAACTATCCCATCCACCACAACAGTTGGATTGGCACTGATGAATGAGAGCAATTCCAACAGAATTCTAGTTGATATTTTCCTTTATGTGAAAGAGTAAGTGAAAGCAAAACCGTGTCAGAACTTCAATCATTTGTCAATGATTGGAATGGCTTCTTTGTTGAATTGGACAATAGATTTTGATTGCTGAAGGGCTATGTATTTCTACATTTTTTTGTGCTATTCACGGTAATAGTCTCAAACACACACAGCTTTTCATCAGCATTATTAACATTTTCTCTGTCATTTTCTTAAGTCTAGATAATTTAAGAAAATAATGAATCAAGCTCAATACCCCCACTATTACCTATTTCAAGCTATTGACACATCATTAAGTTGCAAGAGCAGACTGTAGCACAACTTTATAAATATAGCATTTCACCCTGCAGTTACAACAGATATAGATAATTCAAGGGCACAGATAACAGGAAAATCTAACATAATTAAGAAGTGATATATTTTTAGTATTTATTTTGTTTTAATATAATTTATATTTATTATAATATAATATAATAATTATAATATTAAAACAAAATATATATATTTATATATAAATAAGCTTGTATGACTTTTTTATTAATAATGTCTGTTACTAATAATCAAGGCATAAAATTCCCCAAAATTAGCTCTTAAACACCAGTGTGATTTGACTACAACATAACAGTTTCCCTCCACCCCTTAAAATATAAGTCAAGTCTGCTGCACCATTATCCATAGAACTGATGAGGGGTTCACGTGCTCTCCTTTTGGATGTCAGAAGACAAGTCTCACCTCTGCTTTCTCTTACAAACTTAGTGCTCCATGGTCTATACTACTGATAAATATATCAGGAATATATGTCTGAGATAGAATGTTAACCAAAACCTTGACTCGGGATGTAATATTTCACTGCCAGTTGTTCATGGGATCTAAATTCCATGGACAATGACCACACTCTTCCCCCTACTTCTTTACACTTGGATGTGTTTTTGAGGCAAAGAAGAAAAGAACCAGGATAAAATTAAATCTAAGGGGCCGGTGCTGTGGCACAGTGGGTTAACACCCTGGCCTGAAACGCCAGCATCCAATATGGGCACTGGTTCTAGTCCCGGCTGCTCCTCTTCTGATCCAGCTCTCTGCTATGGCCTGGGAAAGCAGTGGAAGATAGCCCAAGTGGGCCATAGCGGCCACTTGGGGGGTGAACCAATAGAAAAAGGAAGACCTTTCTCTCTCTCTCTCTCTCTCTCACTGTCTAACTCTGTCTGTCAAAAAAAGAAAAGAAAGAAAAGAAAAGAAAATGTGAGGTCTGGCATCAAATTTCAAAGGAGACCCTGGGGAGCCATCAGGATAGTACACTGAGGGCATTACCAATGAAAATTAACTCAGTCTCTGAAGGTCTGAATCCCACAACACTCCCTCAACTGCTTGTGTTTTGCAGATTTTCCTGGTCTTTTTCCACTGGCCACTCACTTGAGATCTGCTAGGCGTTTCCTTGTACATGTTTTAACAGCATGGGAGCAAGGCATGTCTTACCTCCTGATGTCTCTGGAACTGAGAAGGAATAGTGTGCAGCTTTAAATACAGGGCTGAAATCATTGGCTGGAGCAATCACCACGATGACTGTCACAGTGACTGTAAAATTGAGCAGTGAATAAATTCTTTGCCATTGATTCTGTGTCCTGCAAGAATTCCATCAAATTCTAGTGCTAGCCAAAGCAACTTAGTCATGATTATGTCTTTAGTGCATGCCACACTTGACTTTATGCAATGGAAATATCTATTTAAGATATGTATACATTTATACCCCTTGTATATAAATGTCTAATAACATATTTTACACAAATTTGATTACTATATTTTTCATGGGTGTAATCTTCATCATTAGAGAGTTTGCTGGAGCATCACTCTCAACCCAGCACATGACATTCTATCTTGTGCTTCTAACATGTATCTTAGAAAGAACAATGAAAAGAGACTGAGAAAACCCATGTTCCATGTTTAACTTTCACGTACACTCTGTGGCCTTGCACAAGCTTCACCTCTCTTTTCTTTATAAATAAAGGAATAATATTAATTTTAATCTCCTTCATTACAGTAAATATCTGAGAACAAAATGAGATCATGTCCAAGAAGTTGTTTTTTCTTTTAATCTTATTTGTTTGAAATGCAGAAAGACAGAGAGTTCTCCTATCCACTGGTTCACTCTCCAAATACCTGCAACAGTAGGACTGGGCCAGGCCAAAATCTGGAGGCAGGAATTCATTCCAAGTCTCCTGCATGGGTGGCAGAGACCCAAGTACTTGATCCATCACCTACTGCCTCCCGGGGCACCTATTAGCAGGATGGAGTCAACAGTAGAGGTGTGACTCAAATATAGTCACTGCAATATGGGACAAACCAAGTAGCATCTGAACTTCTATCCCCAACACTTACCCCAAGAAAGGATTCTGAAAGATAAAAACTTAAGTTGTTAAATCCAGATATTTGTATGCAACTCTGCATTGTATGAAACTCTGCATTTCAGACCAACAGGTTAAATTAGCACATGAGAAAGTTGGCAAAAAGAAGGAATCTGATGTTCCAACATAAAAGCGAACAACTGGAGTTTTTTAAATAAAATATAATAATTAGCACTAACTGTACAAGGCACTAGCTTCTCATTGCTACTATTGCTCTCATTTCACAGATGAGAAGACTAAGGGTCAGAGTTAAGTTCCTGATCAAAGGTCACAAAACTAGTAAATCACTGAGTGGGTACTGAACAAACATGTGACTGCTAACATCTTCTGAATTATTGCCTTTGAGATGCTAATAATGGGTCCAATATGGAATCCTAAGTTAAACAGAGATAAAAAATTTCTTCACAAGAAAATTTCTTAGGGTTCCTAATGTGCCATTGTGTATTTTAAATTTCCAGGTATACTTTGCTCCCCAAATTTATTTGACCAGAGAATTCTTCTTTAGCAGTTTATCTTGCAGAATTCACATTCAGCAGAATGTGTGTGTATTGTCACTTCTGAAAATCTATGTTTCCTATATCACACGGGATTTAATATTGGATTCATAGAACTTGTACTTCAGGGAATCTGTGGCATTCTTTATACTTTGGATATGATATGTACATTTTCAAGGGATAGTGTCTACAACTTTCCTGAGCATCTCAATGGTATCCCTGACCCCCAAGAAAGGTTAAGAAGCACTATTCTACAAAGGCAGGTGATTTATGCTAACACCTATCTTTTCCCCTCAATAAATCCCTTTTATGTGCTAAAAGAACAGGTACCATTTACAACTCTGCCATACTGTGATATTTTATTGCATTCATAAAGACTCAAGATTGTGCTAATTAGCAGGCCTATAAAAATAGACAGCACTACATGTGGGGTGTTCCAGCATCCTTTATGAGCAGCTCTGAGTGTGATGGAGTTTCCCAGACAGGATATGGATTTACTACTGTGAGAGACTTCTTCCCCTTGCATACTGGGGAAAGGCTCAAATATGGTGAGAAAGGCAGAACCCTCAGGATGAGTATCTACAAGAAAATTCACCCATTCTAAAAGGTCAATTAGGCGATGTAGTAGGCTTTTGCATAAAACCCCAAAAGTAAGCAACAGAGAAAACACATTAAGAATACTTCTGGGCATTTTGCCATGCTTGAGTCCCTGTCATCCTTTGCACATCACCTCTTCGTATAGTTAGGGCACCTAAGTCTACACATCACTTTGTAGATTTAGTGCAATTAAACCTCTTGTATCAGTGAGTGAAGAGAGATTTTAAGAGTTCTAGAAAGACTGATTGTTGTTTAGTACCAATTTATGTTTGGTTGCAAACATGCCATCATAATACCCTTCTATGTCCATGAAAGACAAAGTTCTCTTTCCCACTGCTCCCACATGCAACTTCAGAATTCTGCCTAAACCAAAATTCCACACAACCACCTCAATGATTCAGAGTTCTCACAGGAACCCAAATCCCACCCCTGTTCTAGATGCTCCCTTCCTCCCTACTGCTAACCCTGCACTTGCCACCCAAATGCCCACAACTTCTTGGATACTATTCTGCTTTTCAGAGACAATAGACCCTTGATATTAATGATAGAAGTATGCACAAAATTTCAGACTACTATTTTCACAAATACCTCTATAGTTAACAAATTCACTCTTAATATGGTAATAGGTAGTTGGACATGTAAAAAACTCCTTGGGGCATTTAATCTGTGTTCAACAAGCAGATAAAAGCAGAAGGCAGATGGTTGGCTTAGTTCACCTGCCACTAAATACTCCACTCTGTAACCACAGCACACAATTGAAATATGTACCAGGCCGGCGCCACGGCTCACTAGGCTAATCCTCCGCCTGCGGCGCCGGCACACCGGGTTCTAGTCCCAGTCGGGGCGCCGGATTCTGTCCTGGTTGCCCCTCTTCCAGGCCAACTCTCTGCTGTGGCCAGGGAGTGCAGTGGAGGATGGCCCAAGTGCTTGGGCCCTGCACCCCATGGGAGACCAGGATAAGTACCTGGCTCCTGCCATTGGATCAGCGCGGCGCGGCGGCCATTGGAGGGTGAACAAATGGCAAAGGAAGACCTTTCTCTCTGTCTCTCTCTCTCACACTGCCTGTCAAAAAAGAAAAAGAAAAAGAAATATGTACCAAAGAGTATTTTGCAATTAGCAAAACTATGGCTGCTACATCCAAAAATGCCAAGGAATTCATGCCCAAGCACCTTAAGTGGAATTGATTTTACTGTGCCAAAGACCTATTCTACCAAATGATGGAATAATTATAAGAAGACAAAATGGCAAATAGGAGTAACTATACTCCACAATTTCAAGAATGGCATGAACTGCAAAAACTTGGCAAGTGACTCACAATGTGTCCTAACAATAGTTTCAGCTATATTAAGTGAAATAACTCAAATAAAATAAGTTTACACGCATCCAACTACTTACATGTTTGGAATATATATTATCCAATATCTATTTGTTTCCAAATAAGAGGTAACAGGTATTAGTCCAATTTACTAGACATAAAGTCACTCAAGAATCAAGCATAAGAGTTGAGTCTACATATTCCTTGTCATTTCTAGCTCCCAGAATCTCCAGCCAGGGCTGTATTTAAAAGTGCTATATCGTTGAAGGTGCTCCTTAGAGGTAAGAAAAGTCTTCCTACATCCAAAGGAAACTTCCAATATAGTTCTACCTACTTCACAAGCTACCTACTTCTATCATTTGACTAATGTAGCAAAACTGTCTCAAATATGATACAGCTTTACATTTTAAAATCTAAAGTAAGCTCACCTCAGAAGCTGGGAAGTGGGGAAGACAGCAAAAGAAAAGTGGAGGAATTGCCATCCCAGTGGAGAGCTGTAGAGAAGTTAGCAGTGGCAAAGCTATAGAAAGAAGAGGCCGGCGCCAGGGCTCACTAGGCTCATCCTCCGCCTTGCGGCACTGGCACACCGGGTTCTAGTCCCCGTCGGGGTGCCGGATTCTGTCCCGGTTGCCCCTCTTCCAGGCCAGCTCTCTGCTGTGGCCAGGGAGTGCAGTGGAGGATGGCCCAAGTGCTTGGGCCCTGCACCCCATGGGAGACCAGGAGAAGTACCTGGCTCCTGCCATCGGATCAGCGCGGTGCGCCAGCCAAGGCGGCCATTGGAGGTTGAACCAATGGCAAAGGAAGACCTTTCTCTCTGTCTCTTTCTCTCACTGTCCACTCTGCCTGTCAAAAAAAAAAAAAAAAAAAAGAAGAAGAGACACTGTGGTGGAGCAGCAGGCAAAGTACAAACCTGCAGCAGCGAGCAGGGACACCACCCACAACTCCAGCCTCTGGAGACTCGAAGGGATGCCAGCAGCTGAGAGCAAGGAGAGAGCAGACTGTAGCAGCAGAGCACTGGTGATGCTGCCTGAGGGAGAACTTGGTGGGTCACCCTGACTTTGAGTCCGAGCTGGAGCCCTAGCAGAGGGCAAGGCACCTACCTAGTCTACTGAAGGAAAAGCACACTTCTTTCTCACCGTCCCCCGACAAAGGCCCCTGGTGACCAGCAGAGGAAAAGTGTCACCTTAATGCCAGTAGAGGCTGCAGCAGCTATCCTGCACATGCAATCAGGGGATTTTGCCAGAGGGAAAAACCTGCATTCCCCACCGACTTTGAATATGGCCAACAGAGTTGGCAGGGGACTGGGCACCCACTTAGTATTGTGAACTGCTCCCATCCCCTTAACCAAGGCTCAAATTTCCAAAGTGCAGCACCCACAGGCAGCTGGCTCCAGGAACACCTCTCTTCTCTCCATGGATGAGGCAGGCTCGCAGGCCTGACAGTGGACCCCCTGCACCATGTGACTGTGGGAATCTTGTGCAATATGACTGTGGGAACCCTGTAGCTGCACAATAGGGCACGGGGTATAACTGGGTCTCTGGGCAACCAGCATATCTGGCTTCAGAGGCTCAGAGCTCCCTGCCTGCCTGGGGTGGGTCACCACAGAGGGTTCCATGCTCACACCGTGGACTGTGTAGATCCTTTGTTCAGTTCATGCACCTCTGTTGGTAGGGGGTTGTACCCACTGTGAACTAAACCTAGGAAATGATCACCCCAGAAGACAGGAAGTGAGGTTGTGATTATAACAACAGACATAACCATATCCTC